CCTGCTTCTGGATCTGTGTCTCCCTCCCTCTCTGCTTCTGCCCCGCCTGCGCTCTCTCTCTCTCAAAAATAAAAATAAACATTAAAAAAAATGTAAAAAGAAAAGAAATTGCACAGTTGAGTTTCCCACATCTGGAGAAGTCACAAAGGTCAGTGTGGCCTAAGCGCAGTCTATGAGCCTCACCCTGGGAGAACCACCTTGGTGATCACCGTGCCCCCATGTAAGTATCACTTTCACTGTGTTGTACAACGTCACAAGTTACAGACAATGTTAAAGAAAATATTAACGTGTCACTGTATAAAGTTACATGTTAAATTCAGGCATATGTGAAATTGATTTTCTGAAGACTTCAATCTTTTGACAAACTGTTCCAGGAGAATCATCAGCTCTAAATGTACTAAATATAACAAAGAAAATATTTTGAAAGGAAAAAAATTGTATTTTAGTACCTTAAGCTGCATTTTTAAAACCTGCTCTTTGAATAGGAGGCCCTGAAATTTTTCTAGGGGCTCTGGTTCTGAAAACTAGTATTTCTTCGAGAGGGTTTTCATATTTCTCCGAATTATTCTGATTCTGTTAAAACCCTGTCGGGCTTTTATTTAGTTGCGTCAACTCCAATGAATGGTCATCAGGTTACCACTTGTTTTAAAACCCACATCGCAAAAACAAAAACAAACAAACAAGCAAAAAAACCCGCATCACAGATGACGGCTGGTCGTCTTTGCCGCGGACACTCTCCACTGCAATGTCCTTCTCATCCCAATCTGGAAGCCATCTTCTCCAGCTAAGGCTCGTTCTTCCGAGCAAGAGGAGGAAGGTAGAACCCGGGTAGGCGGGAACGCGCTGGTGGCCCTGTCTGTCAGAATGGTGCCACTTCCGGGCTCTTCCAGCCTCCTCCCACTCCCGATTGACCAATCTTTTCACCCCATCGTGGAGGGAAGGAATCTGATTGGCTTAGTCGTGGAGGAGGGCGGTGCCCTTTACAGCTGCCTTGGCACCAAGGCCCTGGGACCCATCAGCCTATGAAAGGGCGGCCCTTGGATCAGGTGCTCACCTCTGCCCAGTCAGAGGCCCCGCGGTAGGACTAAGGCGGGACTAAGGCGGGACTTGCGGACAGCCCAGGGCATAGGCGTGGCCAGACTGTGACTGACAGGCCGATACCGGGGCCCCAGCTTACCTGCCGCTCCCCTACCGCCTGAGCTCCTGCGCTGCTGCTGGGGAGTGGTTCTCACACTCCTCAGCCCCCTTGACTCAGTCCATCACTTACCGATCTGCTCTTTACTCAAATATATCTAGATTTCCCCCACTCTTACCGTGTCCATGGTGACCTTCCTGTCTAAACGAGGGGCAGCAACCTCTTGGTTGCCACGTGACCACAGGAGTGGTGTTTTAAACACACACAACAAGGATTGGGGCACCTGGGTGGCTCAGTCGGTTGATGGCCCAACGTCGGCCTCTCCCTCCTCCTTCTCTCCCGTGTATCTGCCACGCCTGCCTTCCACGATTCCCAAGCTCTTCCCCCCCAGCCAGGGACCCCTACCTTTCAGTTCTGCTCTCCAGATCGCTCAGCAGCCCACCCCCTTGCCACTGAACCCTTAACTATCCTAGAGAGCTCAGATGAAGGGTCATCTGCTCAGAGGGTCTGTACCTGAGCCCCCGTCTCAACTCGCATCTTCTGACATTGTCTCAGCGCCGGCCACAACTTACATTTCCTGTTTGCATGGTTTAACGTCCATGCCCCCTGCTGGGAGACTACGCAGGGCGGGGCGGAGGGGTGGTGGTGGTCAAGGGCTGTCCACGTTCCTCAGTGTTGACTCCTAGGCCCCAGCACAGCGTCTGGATAAATATTGTGCCAGCCCAGGGCCACTAACTTTAAATACAGTGCAAACGCATGTGTAGGTCTGCATGGAATCTTGATTGCCTCTAGGGAGCGGGAAAGGGACCAGGATAGGGAATGGTGGCGGGGCGGGTGTGTGTGCACATTTAAGCCTGTGTGCCTGCGTGTACATATGTAAAGCTGGGGGGTACTGGCTTCGACTGCAATGATTTCACTTCTGCTGAACAGTAATGAACAAATAATAGCATGTGCCAGGTCAGGGGAGAGAGGGAATGGGCAATCCAAAGCCACACTCATGGCGAACAAAAACATTGTGACACGCTGCGATCCGCTGGTGGGTTTTGTCTTCACTTTATTACTATGTCACCAGAAGTCACCACCTTCACTTGGTTCACCACAAATGGACAGATGTCATAAAGGAGGGTGCCACGGGGCCACTGGATTCACTCTTGAGACTTAACCAGGTGGTGGGGGAGTCCAGAGTGGGGGCCCAGGAGGGGGACCGCCATTCACTGCACACACGCACACACACAGAGATATATTTGTGGAGCCTTATATTATACATCTTATATATAGAAAATATATATATTTATACTATACACAGGCAGTTACGCTGCGGGAGGGCCGGGACACCCAGACGAGGGCTGTGGGCACCAGGGGAGGGGGGAGTGTCACATCGAGGGGCAGCGCTCGGTGGCGACTGGACCAGCCCATCCTCCTACAAACTCTTTGGAAGGGTGGTCCCTCTTCCTGCTCCTTAGACAATCAAAGGGGTCTGGGGTCAAGGTTGGGGGGCCCTCAAGGGGTAACAAGTGGGGGCTCTTGGTTACATGGGGGAAGCCTGGGACCCCCAAGAGTCTTTGAAGATCAAAACTCACCAGGGAAGGCTGGAGTAGGGAGCGGATGCCAGTCCCTGGGGAGTTAGCCCAATGGTTACACCTCCAGGTACCAGAAGCCACCCCCAGGCAGACAGGCTTTGACTGCGCAGGATGAGTGTTAACTCGGAGGCAAGAGACCCGGATCCCAAACCTCTGCCTCTGTGTGTGACTTTGCACAAGTCACTGTCTTCCCGGCTGACTCTACCAACTCTAAGGGTATTTGCAGCTCTAAACTTACGTGGAACCCAGCTTTCCTGAGCCCTCTCTTGTGCTTGGTGGGAGCAGGAAACCCAAACTCGGCAAGGTCAGGCTGGGGCAGGGGGGGCGGGGGGGGGGGGAGTCTTCTCCAAAAATCAAAAATAAATAAAAGTCTTGGAAGCAAGAGAGAGGCCGAGGGAGGCAAGAGTACACCACTGGCTTGTGAATACACCTTGGGGGCCCTGGGGGGCTGTCCTCGGCCAGGGGAAGAAGCAGGACGTCGCTACCAACCTCCCAAAAGGGGAGTCAGGAGCCTTGGGTCTCAGCCAAATCCCACCCTCCGCCCTCTCTCCCTCCACCACTGGCTGGTCCCTGTCAAGAGCCAGCCTGATGGTGGGATCACATCTGGGCCGTACTCCAGGTCTGCACCCCAGGTCAAGGGAGGAATGCAAAGTGAGAGGATTCGGTGCCCCTCACTCCTGGCAGGCGTCCTGTAAACCTTCCCAGTCTGGGGTGGCAGGGAGAGTCTATGAGGAACACCCAGGGGTTGGATGAAGCTTAAGTGGTTCCTAGCATCACGAGGAGCTAGTCGGTGCCCAGGGAGAACGGATGGACAGCGCCCTGGGGTCCCCCTGTGTCCATCGGCAGGGGAGGGGCTTGGTGGGGAGTGGGCGAAGGGAAGGGGCCTCTCACAGCCTCCCGCACCGGCACAGGACTTCACTTTGCCAGAAGCACACCCACGACCACCCGCACCCTTACCTGCTTCGTAAACCTGGTCTGGTAACAGGTTCCACCGCTCGGCCTGGCAGATACCGCAACCTCATCCCGTCCCCAGTCGGGCCACCGGGAGCGGGGGTACCATGGACAGAGTCCCTCCACCAGATGTGGAAAACCGGAGTCAGCAACCCTGAGCTGCTGCTCAGCTGCCTGGGGTTCTCTGCTGTCACTGCTGCCCCCCCGGGGAGGGCTTGGACAGGCTGGGGTTCAGATGCATGCTCCGCCGCTAACTCATTCACACTCTGAGCCTCTGTTTCCTCTGCGGTTAAGCGGGGACAGCGGTGCCACTTCTCTACCTGGGAAATTCCCTCTCTCTCCCTCTGCGGTGCTGCTCCTGCCCCTCCTCGGGGAGCCTCACCCCTTCACAAGCTCTCATATAGCACACTGCCCTCTGGGGGACCCTGGGTAGCGGCGGGTTTGGGGCCCATCTCTGGACCACCGGCTTGCATGCCTTCTGAATCCCCGGTGTAACAGCGGAGTCTGCGGGAGTGAGTGTCACCTGCCTCTGAGGATTCTGGTGGGGGAACGGGGTGCCGGTGGCGGGGACATCCAGCACGGTGCCGAGCCACAATCCCCTTGCCCTGCTCCCCGAGGCACTGGCCAGTGGACGCTGGGCCCCATGCCCCCCCACCCCTCCATCCTGTAAGGCCTCCCCGCCCCTCAAGGCTCAATAAAGAGCCCACCTGTGCAAGAGTCTCTCTCTGCTCCCAACCCTCCTTGTGCCTTTGGAGTCGCCTGCTTACCATCTCCACTACAGCCCAGGCCTCCTCCCCCCTCAGCCTGCCATGCACCAAGGGGCTTTCAGCATTCATCTCGGGAGCCGTTTGTCCCATGGCAGCAGCTTAATGGCTGGCTTTGCTGGGCCCAGAGTCCCTGCTGTCTCTACTCTGACTCCCACATTGTCCTCTCATCAGGCCTTTTGCAAGGCCAGTGGAAGGACCCTCTGGGTCCTTGGCAGTTGCAGCCCCTGAGCCCCCCTGGCGAACCCTGGCAGAGGCAAAGATGACACAGTGTTCCAGATCAGTTCCGTTTCCTGGGAGGTCACGAGGGCAGGGAATCGGGGCACCTGCTGAGTGGCTGGGACCAAGAACCCCAGGCAGTAAGCCCGGCTCTGCCACTTACTCGCTGTGACCTTGGGCCTCCTCGCCCACCCGGCCCTGGGCAGGGACAGCGGTCAGTCCTTTGGAAGGCCACCGGAGCTCCCGGTGGGGCACGCACGGCACGGAGCAGTACATGGGTGAAACGGGCGAGTGAGGCAAGCCCCCCGGGCCCTCCCACCCTGACAGGAGACCAGGGCAGGGGTTGGTGGGGATGTGGGGAGAGGGGCCTAGAGACAGGGCTGTCCCACTTCGGGAGCAGGCCAGCCGGGCAGAACAGGCCCCCGGCTTGCAGCAGAATCAGGGTATCTCACGGGCTGAGGTCCCCAAGGCCTCCCAGAGTGTGACGATAGCACTGAGAGGTGGAGCCCCAGGCTGGGGGATGGGGAAGGCAGGGAGGACAGGGGACAGCAGGTGCTCCGCAGTCAGGTGGCCTGGGCTTGGAGCCAACTCGCACTGGCTGCCGAGTGACCCTGGGCAAGCGACCTTGACTTTTCCAGGCCTCAGTTTCCTCAGCCACGAAATGGAGACAGCGCCAACACCCACAGTAGGGCTGCCGTCACTCCGGCAGGGGACAACTCCAGTGTCCTGCCGGCATTCACACCCACCCTGGGGCCAAACCTTCCCGGCATCATCCGGGTCTATCTCTCGCACCGCTCCCACCTCTGGTACCCACGGGGCCTCCTCCGTCCCTCGTCTGCCTCCTATCCGGGACCGTTTCTCTTTCACCACCGGTGCCAAGCACACACCTGACACACAGCAGGCACTCAATGAACACTCGACGACACAACGGATGAACGCGAACACCCCCAGCCCCCGCCGGACAGACTTGCACACGTGTAGATGCACCCCCAACACCTTACTGCCCCATCCCACCCCGAGCTGCCCTGGACGTCGGTGGAACGAGGCGCTGGGCAGGGCAGCCTGGGAGGGCGCGGGGGTCTGGGCGTGGGCGGTGGGCGGTGGGGGGGGCGGGGAGGGCAGGGGCGGCTGGGACCGGGGCAGGGACAGGCGAGGGGCAGGCGGTCACTGCAGCTCAGTAGCCCTGCGACTGGTAGCCCTGGGGCTCGGCATCAAAGGCGTTGGCCGGTTGCTGGTAGGTACCACCCATGCCGGTGGGGTCTGGCCCGGTGCTGGGCTCCACGTAGGGGGCGTAAGGCATGCTGGAGTCCTGGCTGGGGTCCATGTAGTCCTGGGAGAAGAGGGCCGAGTCGGCGCCAATCTGATACCGCTGGAAGGCCAGCATGGCCTGGCCCGCCTGGGGACGGGGGCCGGCGGGGACGAGGACAGGCGGGAGGGGATGGTTAGAGGAGAGACAGACAAGAACGCTGGGTTAGTGGCAGTTAGTTCACAGGACACAGGCAACAGAGGGCTAAATATCCTCGAGGCCCCACAGATGAAACCAAGCCTGACTGAGGGGCAGAAGTCTGTCCTTGTAGCCAGCCCTCAAGAGACCCAGAACCACACTGTCCATCCAGCCAGAAAGACCTTCAGAAGGTCTTTGGGTCACTATGGGTCACCAAAAACTTTCCACTGTGGAGTGTTAAGGTGGCCCCAAGGCCACAACATCCTCCTCAAACTGTGTTCTCGGGGGTGTTACGTGGAGAGGGGAAAAAGTTTCTTGGTGTGCTGGAAAACCCCCTAAAAGCCACCGCACCTCTCTTGCGGCGAGGTGAAACCATGGAACTAAGTTCTGGCCAGCACACCAGCTGTCCCACCCATTGACCTGACGCCCGGAGGGCAGATGTGGGGCTAGAGCTCTCACAGCCACGCAGGACCACGAGGTCCATGAGCTAATTGTAGGGACAGAAGGGGCCTGGGTCACTGGAGACTTCTGGAGCCACGAGGCCAGTCCCGGACTGTCTTCTCAGACTTGGACTTCATTTAAACCACTGCTATTTACAAGTTCATTTGCTGCTGAACCTAATTATAACTAAAACATTTGGTCAAACAAGTTTGGGAAGCTGAGTTCAACAGAGTAGAAGAAGTTTCAGGGCCACAGGACTTGTTAGGGCCTTGACTAACGTCTACTGGGATCCCCGAGGGGAAAACTTTGGCAAGCGACCTTTGCCAACCTTACCTGACCAATGAAGCCCTCTTCTCACGGGACCTAGTTGGGAAAGACTTGTCTACAGCATACGCACAAAGGTGGGAAATTCTTTTTCAGTAAAAGCTATTACGTTGTTATTAAGGACAATGACATTGACCACCCCCAGCTAGGGAATGAATTTAAAACATAATTTTTAGGTTTACGTTGAAAGCCTTCCCCAAAGATCTTTCTAGCAGGTAATCTTCCTGTGATGGAAAGATGCTAATGCTCTACATACCCATTTCTGGGCTGGGAGGACTGAGGCTTAGTGAAGGGAGACCTCACGGCAGAGTCAGTGCCAGAACCCAGACCTGAACCCAGAGGTCCTGCTCCTTCCCAGGCCAGGGCCCTCCCCATCTCCTTCCCATGGATCAGCCCCCTCACAAGGGAATAAACCAACCAGGAACCTGAAAGGGCCATCTGGTGAGAGGCGGCGGGGGGGCCGGGGCCGGGATGTGTGCTTGGCATTTTATTCTAGAAAGTTCCAGAAGCCCAATGACTAGCCACTGACTTTTGATTTGTGTCATTGGTAAAGGCTCTGAGGGGCAGCCCTTCCTGAATACTGTTTAAAGCAGTGCAGAAGCCTGAGAAAGGCAGACCAGGCCCGAAGGAGTTGAGCTGAGGGAATCAGGCCTCCCTAATTCAAGAGGCCAGTTCAAGAGGCCACAACGCAAGAGTATGAGGGTGGGGGGTGGTGCATGGGACCCTGCTGGACTCAGGTGCAAAGGGGAGGCTGGGAGTTCTGCTCAGAGCCCAGGGACCTGGTGGCCCACCTGGCCCTGCTTCTTCAGAGCAGGTATACTCTCTGTAGCATCTCCACCACACAGCAAGCCGTGTGCACTTGTATGCCTCTAGTGTTGGGAAGCTCGCTCTCTTTGTGCTTTGCTCTGGGGGCCTGTTTGCTCTGATACCCCCTCAACTCCTGGAGAGTGGAGAGATTGGTGGTTCCCGCCCAGGCAGCTAAAGGCCCCCAAACTGTAGAACTGGAGGTCAAAGTCTTTTGGAAGAACGAGGGCTCACCACACGAGAATCGCCCCCAAAGTAGAGATTATGGAGGTGTCTCTGACTCCTTGGAGAGAATGGATGAAGGAACGAATGAACGGAAGAGCCTACATTTATTGAGCATCTCTGTGCCAAGCCCCGTGCAGCCTTTGTTTCATCCACACAACAGCCCTGAGAGGCTGGTCCACTGGGTAGTGAACTGAGGCTCAGAGAGGTGCGGGGGTTTGCCCAGGGTCACACAGCATGTGAGAGCAGGGCCGGACCAGGAGTCCTCTGATGTCCTCGGCCAGGCCTCCGTTTGTACCCAGCCTCCATGGGAACTGTAAGGTCAGCCTTCGTGCTGCAGCAAGGAACAGGCTCTCGCACCGTGTCCACAGATCAGTATACCAGTATAGAGAGCCAACGCCAACCCTCTGATAGCCCGTGGCCGTCTTGTCTGGGGGAGATTTCAATTTGTTTGTCTTCCCCTCCCCAGCCTGTGGGCTCCTGGGGCCAGGGACCCCGTCTGATCCATCACTAGGCACAAAACAGCTGCTCAATAAATGTTTACTGAATGAATGGACATTTGGAAAAAGAAAGGAGGCAATGAATGCGTAAGTGGCGAGTCTTAACTGGCCCCTCAAGCCAGCCACCCACTGCCCTGCGTGCCCTGGCATCCTGGCCATTTCCGGCAGTAGGCTGCCCCCATAACCTTGCCACTGGGCACGATACAGGGCGCTCCCCGCCTCGGGAAACCGGCAGGCCTATGGCTGTGCCGAGGCGGGAAACAGTGTGCTGTATTCCTCCTGGAAGGTAAGGTCCTTGAATCTCCGCACGGCCAGGGCTGCGGTCAGGCTCTGCCGGGAGAGAGCAGGGGTGAGGACGGTGGGGAAGAGCTGGGAAAGGGAGAAGTGCCAGCAGGGAATCCCGCCTCAGTGGGCACCTGTCCGTCAGGCTTTCGGATCTGCCCCCGGAAGTCCTGACGCCCCATCACTCCTCCTCCTCTGTGAACTCCACCCCCATCTCAGGGCTCACTGGTCCAAACATCTCCCTGTAGCACCGGGTGGGCTGTGTGGTTCCCATACATGGGGCATCTTCTGTGGTCTGAGATCCCCTGGGGTCACTTGGTTCTTCCTGCCCAGCCCTGAGGACACGGAGGGCGGGTGTGACCACTGCTGGCGTGCAGGGGCCTGAACCACAGGTGTTCTCCTCCAAACCCTGGCTCCCAATATTGTATTGGGAGAGGTGCCCCAAGAGAAAATGGATATTCAGGGGCCCTCAAAAAGAGCAGGAAGTCACTCTAGGACAAGCCCAGAAGGGCAGAGGGACAAGGAGGCCTGGCTGCAGCAGGCTTCACAGGAAGGGCTAGGGCTGCTTGTATTTAGCCCCAGGGTCTCCTTGCAGAAGGCTGGGCCCAGGGCTGCTTTAGGGCCTGGAGGGGAAGGGGGCTGCACGCAGGGGCAGGAGAACCCTTGAGATGGGGGCCTGGAGCCCATGCGACCCGGATATCGCAGGAGGGAGGTGAGGAGAGAAGAAATACACCGAGGGGACCTGACCCCAGTGGGAAACAGGGCCCAGCCCTGCTGTCATGCCCGTGGGTGCTGGAGGTGTAGGTCCAGAGCCTGCCAATGGGTGCCGTTTGTGGGCCCAGAGACACGCTTTCTTTGACCCACACGGTATTTTTTTTTTTTTTAACTTGAATAAATTGCTAACACGTAACGATCGGGTTTCACACAGAAATTCAGATTTCTGGCTTCTCTGGAAAAATGGGAAGACTGGCCTGTGTGGGTCCCTATCCCTGCCTTGGAACAGGGATCAAGAGTGCCCCTTTGGGGGCATGCACCTGCCGCCCGGCCCACTCACGCTTTCTCACGTGCTGCCTACCACACGGACATCTGAATTTGTGACACCCCGCCCCCCACAAATCCCAACTCCTGATTTTCAGAGATGGGAAGATAATGGGCCGGAAAACTAGAGGCAGCCCCAGGAAGTGGCCCAGGTCTCCCGACACCTAGGCCCGGGCTCCTAACCAGCCTCAGAACTGCAAAGCCTTATCTTTCTGTCCAGGCCTCCACTTGGGTCTGCAAAAGGTTAGGGTAAACGCCCACAACCCAACTACCAGAGTGCTTGGGAGGGGCGTTCGTGACCACTGGAAGGCTGCTCTGTGCCAAAGCGAGGGTCAAGCACCACTGTGCGACCTCGCTGGCGATGGCAACAGCCTCCTTCCCGGGAAGCAGCCCGTGTGACTGCCGAGGAGAGAAGCAGGGGCACGTTCGGGCTCCAGGAAGCAGGATGCAGGCCCCGGCTAGGCTGAAAGGCCGCCCGCCCGCTCGGGAGCCTGGCTGGGGCGGGCGACTGTGGGCTGGGTGGGCCGTGTACTCACCCACGTGAAGATGGAGAAGAAGGAGAAGGTGATGGCGGCCCGAGCCGCATCTGTCCCTTCGTTCATCGGGTTGTCCTTGGGCTTGGACACCTGCCACTGGTTGGCCAGGAAGCAGAAGCCCACGAACCAGAGGAAGGCCCAGAAGGCTGGGGTGTCCACGAGGGCCAGGCACAGGGGCCGCGCACAGGAGAGGGCGAGTGGGGAGGAAATGGGGAAAACGAGCAACAGGGAGGGGTTTGGGAGCACGTCTCCCCCACCCCACCCCCACCCCCATGGGAGAGGCGGGGGCAGGGGGCACAGAGAGGGGAGCACAGGGAAGGGGAGGCGAGAACAGGGAGGTCAGTCAGACACAGAGCAGGAGAGAGACCACAGAGAGGAGCCGGGCCACGCAGATGGCAAGGCCAGGAGCAGAGGCAGGGAGAGCCAGGGGCAGCGAGGGGAGGGGAGGGGAGGGGAGGGGAGGGGAGGAGGGAGAGACAGAGAGAAAAGTCAGTTGGCCTAGGCGCGCATTTCTGTTGCCTTAGCCAAACACAGATTTCCCAGCTGAATCCCCGCCCCGGGACGTAGTCTGCCCCTGCAGCAGTCTGGGAGGAGCACTGATCCGACCCCCTGGCCAACGATAGCCTCCCAGAAAGTCGGGCAGACAGAGGATGAGGAGGAGGCTGGGCAAGGGGGGCGGCTTAGCTGGCCAGGTCTGAGCGTTGCCTTCTCTTGTGCTCGCAGCCTCACGAGGCCCAGCCTCACGAGGCCCGAGCCAGGTGAGCGAGGGCCCTCTTGAGCACCGAGGCCCGGGGAGCTTAGCAGTGGGAGCCTTGTGGCAACGAAGTCTTCTGTGGGTCCCCGGGGTCTCCCCAGAGAGGACCAGAGCGGCTCAGACAAAGCGTGTGTGTGCCAAAGGGCTGGGGTAGCTAGAGACCAACATCTCCCACAGGCACTGCTGGGGAACCCTGGGGCGCCGTGGAACACCGCTTGAGAACCATTGATTTCATTCTATCCTTCAAGTCTACGGGACTGGTCTCACTGCTTCCAGTCAGCCAGGCTCACCCTGAGGATCCCAGGCCCAGTAATGGGGGGAGGTCTCAGCCGGAGAGCCGAGACCACAGGCAAAGCTTCACGGCCTCTCAACCCAAGCACCCAGTGAGCAGACTTCAGAACTCGTGGGGTCAGAGGTCGGGTCAGCTCTGCCAAAGGCTGTTTCTGGAGGACGAGGGCAGCAGGTCACGTCAGGTCCCGACCCTCCCCGGGCCCAGACTGTGTGCCAGGCGGTCGGGCCTGCCTTACGAGGCTCTCGCGGAGGGTGGCACAGGGGAGGCTTCAGAGAGAAGGGAAGCTGTGTCCCCTCCCCGCCACGGAGCTGTGGGCTGTTCCGGGGCCTCAGGCCCGGCCCTGGTCCCACCACTCCCTGTTGCCAGCCGCGTGACCCCAGGTCTGTCCCCTCACCCGCCCGCACCTCAGCTTCCTCATCTGGAAACTGGGCGATGGGGGACGGCTGCCTCCTAGGTGCACGCGAGGATTAACGGGCCCATGGCCGGGACGGCCCCCTGCCGGCTCTGTTGTGCTGGGGTGGGGGGGGGTGCCCACTGGGCGGGGGGCTCACCTGAGACACCGATGTCGGACAGGACGGCTTTCTTGCGGTCCTTCACGCTGCTGATCTGTGGGAAGTACACATCCAGGGCCAGGTACAGCAGGCAGGTGAGGAAGGCGAGCACGCCCACGGCCACGCCATAGCTGCAGGCGTTGGGGTTGCGGTTGTAGATGCAGAACTTCTCGCCCTCTGAGTTGTTGTTGAGGTAGCCCTCGTTCACGATGGAGCCGAACACCACGATGGAGAACACCTGTGGGGGGAGGGGCGGGGGGGGGGGCAGGCGTGAGATCCAGGCCGGCCCCCGCCCAGCACCAGGCCCGGAGAAGGGGAGGCTACCCGCCTCGGCCCGCGGCCTACCCCTGCCCCGGGGAGCCCTCTTCACCCCCGACGGCCACAAGGCTCGTGCGAAACAGGCATTTCAGAGGAGAGGCCCAGAGAGGGAGGGCAACTTGCTTCGGGTCACACAGCGCAGGAGGGGACAATCCCTTCCTTCCTCTGCCTCAGGCAGGAATGACCCTCTGACCAGAGATTTGGCCCTACCAACCCACCGTCCAGGTCCTGGGAGGTCTTCCTGGGCCCTGACACCAAGATTCCTCTACAATTGGACCTGGCCTCCCAGAATGAGTGGGGCCATGCCCTTCTGGGAGGTGAACCTGCCAAGCCCCCACCCCCAGCCCCCCTAGGCGGACTCCTCTAGACGCTGGCCCATGCCCACCCCCACCAGTAACCCCTTTGCTAGGTTTATTTCACTTGGATAGACGGCCAGCCGAGATGGCCCCCCACCACCCCATCTCCTGGCGTTCATGCCCTTGTGCAACCTCCTTCCCCCTGCGTGGCGGCTGGGCCTTGTGATTCACTTCCAACGGAATAGTGCAGAGAGCGACGGATAACATCTCTGCGAGGAGGTTGCAAGGACGCTGGCTTCCACCTCGCTCACCCTCGCTTGCCGCCTCTTACTTGCTGGCTCCGAAGGCAGAGGCTGACTTGGTTTGAGCTGCCCTCTGGAGGGGCCCATGTGGCTTTTTATGGTTTGTCAGCCATAAACAAACGCACAAATTAAAAACAAACAAACAAACAAAAAACGACACTGCTGCAGCTGGATGAACCTTAAAAGAGGTGCAAAAAGAGGTGAGGGAAGCCAAACACAAAAGTCAACCCCCAGGACAAAAGCCCTAACAGACAAAACGGAGACAAGAAGCAGGTGAGAGGTGCCCCGGGGCTGGGGGAGGGGAGGACGGAGAGCGATTACTTAAGAAGCACGGAGTGTTCTTACGGAAGATGAACGTTTTGAAACCAGACAGAGGTGATAGCTGTGCAACATCAATGCCACGGAAATGCGCACTTTAAAATGGTTAATCGCATGGCATGCAAATTTTTCTACAATTAAAGACAAGACTGTGGGGCTGTGTCCTGCTTGTTCAGCCGTGGGCACAGCGGTGGCCATGGTGGCCCGTGAGCCACGCGTTTGCCTGTCCAAATTCGAGAATGTGCACACAGCCATGGTCCAGACCCGGGCCGGCGTGCTGGCTCTCAGCCCGGCCCCGTCACAGGTTCCACAACTTCGCGGTCACCCCATGAGGTGCACAGGGCAACTCGTGCTGCTCCCAGCTACCAGCGCGGGAAAACTGAGGCACAGAAAGTACAGGTGGCACTGTTGTCAACACTCCGGGCTGAACGGGGACCCGGGCGTCCTGATCCTCAGCCCTGTGCTGTCTCTCACCTGACTAGGCTGATGCTCAGCCTCAGGGGGTGGGCCCGGACGGAGGTGTAGTCTTTCCAGACACCCGGGGGGCCAGTAGTGTGAGTGAGTGCCAAGTCTGGTGCTCGGGGGCCCAGGAGGGGAGAGGCAGGAAGTCCTGACTTCACAGCGATTGTCTAAGGAACTCCGGGGCTACTGACAGAGTCTTGACAAGCAAGGCAGCCGCAGGAGATGAAAGCAGGCTCTCTCATGGCCAGCTGCTTGAGTGGCGCACGGCACAACTCCGGGACTGCCATTCACAGAGCCCCCTGGGACCTGTGCACCAAGACAAGTCCCCGGTTCCTACCAAGGAACTGCCAGGTCGGGAATCCGAGGCCCAGCCCCAGATGTCACCCAACGTCCCCAATCCAGCAGAATGGACAAGCTACTCGATTAGAGGGGGCACTCCAGACCCTAAGGGGTCATACAGGGTTGCTGAAGTCAAATCCCAGGCCTGCTTCTTATGCTGTGTGGCCTCAGGCAAATGACTTAAGCTCTCTGAGCCTCCGATTGGAACTCTGCAAAAAGTAACCTTCCCTCTGGGGCTCCTGACAGAATGACACGCAGGCACCCTGAGCAGAGCAGGTACACCAGGGGCTGAGCCACGGTTAAGTCCCTTCTCCAAAGGCCCGAGGAAAAGCGGGACGAGCACCAGGAAGGCCCTCCTGAGCAGCACTTCCTGGCAGACATGCTCCGCCAGGGGTGGGAACAAGGGTAGACCCCCTTCCAAAAGCGGGCCAGGAGGAGGCGGGAGGGGAAGCGGGCGGGCGGAAGTTGGGGCTTTGGGGACAGCAGAGGAGGAACCATTAAGATGGGGCCCTCTTGGGGGACAGAAGCGGGGAGTCCCTGAAGAGGCCAGGAGGCACGTGCTGGAGACAGTGTGTCCCCAGGGGGGTGAGGAACAAGATCAAAACAGCCTCCAAGGAACCCGCGGGGCCCCGGAGCGGCGCAGAGAGAGGAGCTCAGTGCCCGCTCCGGTCTTCCTGTCCATCCCACGGCTCTGGCACACAGGGCGCTCCGCGGTCAGGCATTCCTCGAGGTCGAAGTCACCTTGGGCGAGTGGCTTCTCGGAGCCGCGGTCCCCTCATCTGTAAAGCCCTGCCACCGCAGCACCCTGAACCACCGGCGTGTCGTGAGGAACGGACGAGGCCACGCACGTGAGGGCCTGCAGGCGACGCGGAGCCGGCACCCAGAAAACGCCGGAGTGATGCTAAACAAGCAGAAGAGATAACGAAGCAACGGCAGGCGGTGGCCGTGCCGGGAGCGGGGCAGCAGCGGTCAGGGAAGGGAGCCGAGGCAGTGATTTTTGAGCTGAGCTGAGAAGCCAGCCCTGCCGAGATGGGGGGAAGCGTGTTGCAGGCAGAACAGAAAGGGCAAAGGCGGGAGGTGGGAGAAAAGCCAGGCTGGAGCAGCGACGGAGGAGTAGGGCTGGAGGTGCACGAGACGCGGCGGGAGGGAGAGTGGGCGAGATGGGGGGGGGGGGGGACAAGGCCAGGGGGGTGGGACACCGTGAGGAGGGTGTGACCACAGGGGGGTGACCGGATCTGTGGCTCACCGTCCCCGCCCTGCAGCACGAAGCTCCCTGAAACGGTTCCCCCACGGCCTTCCAGACACAATCCGAGCTTCCGAGGGCTGGTGGTCCAGTCCCTTGCTGTATGGCTCGCCCACCCCTCCTGGGCCTCACCTCCCTCTGCCGCCTGCTGATGATCACGGCTTCCCCACCTTCCCACGCCCCGGCCCATTGCACGGTTTCTTCTCTGAACCGTGGTTTCTACGAGCACATGTCGCGACCGGTGGCGGCGGGGCAAGCTGCCACGAGGCAGGCAGGGCCTGACCCCCAAAGCCGTGAAGGGCAGGGTGAGCTCAGGAGCCACTTCGGGCTTAATCCCACTTGATCTGACTTAGGTCTGGAAAGGGCCACCCTGGGCGCCGCGGAGAGGAGCGTAAGGCCAAGGTGAAAGCAGGGAGACCCGCTGGGGGGCTAAGCAGCGCCCGGGGGGAGGGAGGAGGGGCTGGGCTGGCGTGGGCAGTGGTGGCAGTGGGACGGGGTGGCTGCTGAATGCGGAAGGTAAAGCCACCGGGATCTGCTGACACGTCTGCCGTGGGGATGAGAAGGAAGAGCAAAGGGCGGGGTGCGGGGGGCTGGGTTCCGCGACCCCCGGGAACAGGTGTGCACGCCACGTTCCCCGCAGGCTGCACAGCCGGGCCAGGGCAGGGACGCTCACCTGGACCGGGCCTGAGACTCTACAGATGGAGAAGCGTTGCCAAGGAGACACAACTAGTCCCTCGGGGTCCCCGAACTCTCTCCGGGCCCCTGTAAGCCCGGGGTTCGCGACTCCACTTAGCTGCCGTCTCTCCACCCACGTGGGACCGAGCCCCCCAGGAGCAGGGATGGGCCTCGGAGCTCACATCCCGCGGTGGGAGGAAGGGGGGCTCCCTCAGGACCTACTGGGGGACTGAAACACCTGCTCCTAACTGCACGCGGGCCACGTCCTTGTTCTCATTTTCCAGCCGTGTGCGGGCACCGGCCCGGGGGCCGCAGCTGGCTTGGGGGGTGGGGGATACAGACTCAAACCCAAGTCACTCTGAGCCCAAAGCCAGGGCTCTGTGTCAGGCAGGCGGTAAGGCCGGATCTGCAGCAGGGAGCGCACGGAGCGCACGGAGCCGAGAACCGGAAATCAAACCAGAATGAAATTCTACCCTGCTGCGGCCAAACTCTACCTAACAGGCGGACCTGCTGGAGGGACTGGAGACGGGTCTGTGGTGGCAGAACCAGCGGCCTGGAAACAGGACAGGGTGGCCTCAGGGGAGGCTCCACAGAGGCCGCTGGTCACTGGAAGGCACAGGAAAAACAATCCCTTTTCCTCGAACTAAAGAAAATGCTATAGAAAGCCGGGGGGGGGGGGGGGGGGGGGGAGGCACCAATGTAAATGGACCAAGGCTGTTTTTTCACCATCTTTATAATCCAATCCTGGGTCTTTTTAAAAATGGATTAAAAAAAAAAAAATAAGGATTCCAGATGGCAGCTGGAGCAGAGCTATGTCAAACTCAGAAAAACACATCGGAAGGTGTCTCAGAACCTCAGGATCTTGGGGTACTGGATTCAGAGACACAGAAGCGGAGACCCCGGAAGTGTCAGACCCCGCCCCCCCCTGCTCAGCCATCCCAGACGTCAGGGTTGGCACAGATGTAGGCTGTGTCATAACTGTGCACCTGCTGTTCCGCCCTCCCAGAATGCCCTTCCCCACTCCTCCATCTTTCAAATAGGATCAAACTCCTTCTCAGTCACTCCCCCTCCTTCCCAGCCACTCCCCCACCCTGACCCTGCGCACACTCATTTATGGGTCTGTCGCTCCCAAGAGACCCGAGCTAACCCACAGCCTCTGCAGGGGCCCTGCATCGACTGGGAGCGCCTGACGGAAAACATCTCGGTTAATCCTCACCAAAATCTCTAAGGAAAAAATAAAGGTAAAAACATCCCCACAAATCAGGCTCACTCAGCCCATTTCACA